GTGTCATATTACTAAGTGATGTGGTGCTGCAAAGTGTATTTGGCTAGATAATTTTTTACAAGATGATTAATAGTGAGTGATGCTCATGTGATTATCAGGGAGAACATAAGTTGTAACCAAGGGGAGTACACTCCCAACTCACGTCTATGATAATGGCTTGAACCTTAGTCAGTGTTGGGGTAAATTCGACATTGATATTTTCAGTTTGCAGGATATTTGCTCGACTGCTTATACTGATTATTTGCATGCATGATTGTGTCGCTAAACCATCAATTAGACTGACAAAGTTTTGAGATATTTACTGAATGAGCAACTGATAGAGAAACATACTGTAATCATCTGTAGTGAATGAAGAAAAACAACACTAGTGATAATTATAAGTCAATTTGCTGACCGATTTTGTTAATAGTTTCATTAATTTTATCAATCATATTACGTGATTGTCAAGTCATGACAATGCTTTATGAAGATATCCTGAAACTATTATGTTTAATTAGTTATAGTGTTGATTGAAGATTGGCCAGTGGAAAAATAGGCATTGTTGTTTTAGGTGATTCAAAATTATCAGAAATTTATAACGTTAAAGAATCCGAGATGCCTAATTTAATTATAAATTTCAATTCAGAAATATTTGTTTAATGTTATTTCTAGTAGGCTACGGAGTTTAGATTTTAAAAGTTTGTTCAACCAACAACTACCTGAGGATTTAGTAATTTTACTAGTGCAGTTGATAGTACCTAAATTTTTAATCTTATTATCTAAATTATGTTTGCATTTTAGACTGCTAATATGACAAACCAATCCATAAATCCAAATACGATTAGCAACAACGACTATGATGGGTTTATTAATAAATGTTAGAGGCGATCCAGATGATTTCTAAATTTAGAAGACATGGAGATATAGTGTAACGTATGTATGAACCAGGTTAACATGCAGGTTGTTGACGTATATGACGATTTAAAAATAATGAAAATGACCAGACAAGTATAAGAAGTTACTGCATTTAGCCTAAAGATAATTATAAATATGTGGCAAACACAACTGGAAAACATATACATGTTAAGTACAGAAAAATCATCCAGTAAAATAGTTGAACTCGCCTGGATTATTTTGAAAATTAGATTATTCAGTGGACGACATATATAACGCCATTCGTGAGGAGTAATGATCCAAAAGTATCCACAATAAAACATGCAGTATGGCAATTAATTCCAGGGTGCTTGATGCTGTTGCCACTCGCTCAGATCAAAACAATCGAATGAATCCAGATAATTGTGTCAGCCATTGAACGAGCCATCTAAAATGACCTTATGATTGCAGGAAACTTATGGCTGAAACTCACCGTATGTTTTTAGAGAAGTGTCATCCTTGTTGTTTGGCAATGGAACTCGAGAATATGAAATTAGGCAGGCAGTGGTCGGAAGAAAAGGATAGTGCATAGTTTAAAACAGGATGAGGTGTTAAGCGAAGAAACACTAAGAATTAGATCCAGATAACTATTTAATCCTTGATTGCATTGTTAGCCAATGTATATTTACGCTATTTACAGGTCATATTTCCTAGAGCTTGATGTTTAAACAAGTTTATGTCGCTGAAGCAGGTAAATGCTATTAAAGCTTGTTAACGAACCATCAAAGCTAATTAGTTGATATAGATGATCAACTTTTATTATCGATTGAGCTAGTAAGCTATGTGAACTAATAGATATAACATTACGATAATATATGTGACCATTAATCAAAGGACTATTAGAATACTGGGTTTACAAAAATAAAAACCGATTGAGAAGGTTAAGGTGGAAATAAGGATTAGCAATAATAGGTTGCGTTTCTTTAGTTGAGCTCACCAATGTAGAATTATGATCTACTATGATATTAGTGCTACTCTAATAATAGACCTAATCCTAAATTTGTAGATTTGTCATGATATGACTGCCTAATCTATAAGATCTTACGTGGGAGTCACACCATCGACTACACCAACTCACTGTATCGTATCAATTACCAATACATGATGTAGAACAAGGTTAGGCTAGAGAAAGAACAATATATTTAATATGAATAGAAGATATAAGGTAACATTCAGCAGAGACCACGCCTGCATGGCCGAGCCATGCCGTTCGATCAACTCTAGTCTATTCAATTCATTATTCGCGCCTTCTCCATCGTTAGGTTTTTCTTCGCGTTAAATATTGAATACCTATTTTCCGAGTAATCTCGTATTCAGCTTTGAGGATAGTGTGGTTATGGTCCAATGCCACTACAGTGCACCAAGTTCACAACCTCGAGTTTAACAATCTTGAGGAATCCATATGGTGCTCTGTAAGATTGTCTAGCACTTCGAGGTGTCTAGTCGGTGTCATTTACAGGAAGCCAACTACTGACATCGAGTACGATAGTCGTATGCTGGATGGACTATCCCGCTCTACCCGTCTCGGTTTCACACATATCCTGATTCTAGGGGACTTTAACCTTCCTAGAGTCAACTTCGTGGAACACACGTATACTGGAGGTGACAACTCAATTGAAGCTCGGTTCTTCAACCTCATCGATGACTTGGGCTTATATGAAAATGTGAGGTCGGCAACTGGTTGGAGAAACAGTCAGACACTATCGCGGTTAGGCTGTGTATTCACAAACGAAGAATTCCTAGTTGACAACCTCTCAATCTTGGCTCCTCTGGGAAAGAGCGATCATGCCGTCATAGCCTTCAGTTTTGTCACCAAAACTAAGCTAAGGTATCCCAACAATAACTTGCGTCGGAATTTTAAACGGCTGAATGTGCCAGCTCTACACGACTATTTACAACAGGTGGTTTGGGATGTTCACCCCCAACTCGATGTGGACGGTCACTGGAACTTCTTACTGCACACGCTCTTATGTGCTACAAACCATTCAGTTCCTCAAACGGTTCCCAAAAGCTGTAAGCCACCTACAATAATCAAGAACCGTACCCTTCGCCTGCTAAGCCGTAAAAGGCACTGTTGGGCGGAATACAAACGAACTGACAACGACGGAGCGTATAGGCAATTCAAACATATCAGGAACATATGCACGAAGGCTATAAGAGAAGACAGGCTTCATTATCAGACAAAGCTTATGGACAAATTTGCCTCGAACCCTAAAAGCCTATTCCGTTATGCAGCCTCTCTTCGTCAAGCCAAAACAGGAGTTTCTCAACTGCTAGGTCTTAACGGCCCAACCAACAACGATGGTGACGCCGCCAACCTTCTGGCGGCACACTACTCTCAAACATTTCAGCCGGCTGACATCAACTCTATTGACGACAGTTTCACCTGTAATTCCACAGGGCTTTCCGAAGTGGACCTAAGCGCTGACTTGGTGTTCCGGAAACTGCAGCACTTAAGACTAGATACTTCTCCTGGCCCGGATATGGTTCATTCTGCCATACTAAAGGAGGCAGCCTCAATCCTGGCAACGCCGCTTAGCGTGATGTTTTCACACTCGCTAAGCCAAGGCAAACTACCGGAAAATTGGAAGTTGGCTCACATCACACCAATTTTCAAAGGGGGTCGACGCAATGAACCTTCATGTTATCGGCCGGTGGCTCTTCTGTCATTACCTTCAAAACTCATGGAGTCCCTGATATGCGATGGTTTAAACGATTATCTACTGTCCTTAAACTTCTTCTCACCCCAACAGCATGGTTTCAGGAAGGGTTACTCTTGTATAACCAACCTGCTGACTGCGGTGGACAGATGGACAAGCATCCTCGATCGCAAGGGAAAGGTTGATATCATATACCTTGATTTCTCAAAAGCTTTTGATAAAGTTAACTACTTGTGTCTTATAAATAAGCTCAAACGACTAGGTATCAAACCACCTCTAATCGATTGGCTTACTTCATACCTAGAAAATCGACACTTTAAGGTTAGGGTTAATTTCACTTTATCTCAGGCTATGGAATGTCCTAGTGGGGTTCCCCAGGGCTCAGTATTAGGGCCTCTCCTCTTCTTGATCTACATAAACGATCTTCCTCAACAGGTAACGTCAGACTTACTACTTTTTGCCGATGAAGTGAAACTTTGGAGAGAGATACGCAACCAAGACGATACACAGGCACTTCAGGAGGATTTGATTCGACTTCAAAGTTGGGCAGACGATAACGGAATTACGTTTAACACTTCAAAGTGTAAAACAGTCCATCTGCGACATGTCGCAGACTACAGTTATAACTTAAGAAATTCCTCTCTAGTAGTATCCCAAGTCGAAAAAGATTTAGGAGTCCTGGTGCCCCATGATATAAAGTCTTACGCTAATTGTGACAAAAATGCCTTCCGAGCTAACCTTGCACTGGTAACATTGAAGCGCATTTTTGGCCAGTTTGACGGAAGAACTTTCCATACAATCTTCAATAGTTTTATCCGTCCCCATTTAGAGTACGGAAATATAGTACTCACCCCCTCACTCCAAAAGGACAAGATCACTTTGGAGCGTATCCAACGGCGAGCCACGAAATCAGTTCGCGGACTCAAATCTAAGCCTACGAAGAACGCCTCCATTAACTAGACCTTTACCCATTAGAGTATAGGCGTCTTAGAGGTGATTTATTAATGGCTTATAGTATTCTTAACACTTCTGGACATCCTCTTAAACACCTACTCAAGCTTAGTTCGAATAATAACCTAAGGGGTAACACCCAGAAACTGGAAACTCAATATAGCAAGACGGGATGTAGACACAACTTCTACTCCTTAAGAGTTGTCAAAAGCTGGAATTCGCTGCCGGCCGAGCTAGTCCAAGCGACTTCTCAGGAGTCCTTCAAGAGGCAACATGACCTATTCTTTAGGACCTAGGACAGTATCATACTATGATTTACCAATTTCTTTTCCTCTTTTATTGTTAACATACCTAGGTTCCTGCCTGGAGGATTTGATGATCCCCTGCTACTAGACACGGAAGCCTGTTAAGCGAAAGCTTCTTCTATTCCGTCCACAACCATTTGAACCATTTGAACCATTTATTTGGCACTATTTGTGTAAGCTCATATATCACGCGACATTTCGACTTGTACGTTACGTTCTTAATGAATTTAGAGCTTCTAGGTAAGGCTCAGAATTTACGGTTCATCACGCTTTATTTTGTAGAAGCGTTTCATCAAAACTATCCAGAGGTAATAAAATAGTTCGGTCTTCATCTTTCAGGCTGCAGATGGTTACCTAGAACGAATTAAAAAAGATGATGGGAGTAAAGACGCTGGCTGCGCCACTTATGCAATAACATTGCAGTTCAATAGAGTTGGAAGTCTCTTAGCTATTGGATGCAATGATGGAAGAATAGAAATTTGGGACCATGTCACAAGACGTATCTCCAAAGTCCTGGTAGCACATGCACACCCAGTTTGTTCCCTAAGGTAAATTATAACCTATTCAGTATTGAAATTTATCTAGTTGGAGTAGAGACAGCAGAAAGCTTCTTAGTGCTTCCACTGACAATACAGTCTCTATTTGGAATGTACTATCGAGTGCTTGTGAGCAAACATTTCAATTTCCTTGTCCTGTGATGAAGGTTCAATTCAATGCAAGGAAACCAGATCAACTACTTGTTTGTCCGATGCGACATGCCCCAGTAGTTATCAGTGTTCCAAGTGGTGCCCCAACTATCATACAACCAGAAGATGAAGTTAGTTTTAGGATAATTTTTTCCGCACGACCCTAACATTCTTATCCGTTTTCATGACGTGGTGATTTGACTTTGAAATCAATCAGTAGTTGGTCTTTGTCTCACTCAAGACAATTATTCAGACAGTTACCGACTTATTCACTCAACCTCTATTTGGATTTGGTAGATTAATCATTGTTTCAGTGTTCCTAGAATCCAATGAGTGAACTAGTTTGTTAACAAACTGCCGTGTAGTCTGAAAGTAGGTTTTATTTTTCTACATAGATTACGAAATAGCTTATTGGCCTAAATCAAAAACTTGAATAATTCCCATTTGATAAATCATATGGTGAATTACGTCCTTTACATCAGGTGAAATAATCATTAATGTTGTGACTGAACGAACTAAAGAAAGGAAACACCATATTAGTAATCTTAAGGTCTGGTAATGTGTTTCAGATACTTCAAAATAATTTAAACAATGCCAATATCTTAATTTACCGATTTTGATGTCAGACATGTTTTAAGTTCTCAGTAATAAGGATAGTGGGTTGGCGGACCTGTGTTAATCCTCCCAGTGCCTTCCAGTGAAGGTCCAGTTTCTCCTTGAAAATGTTCACTGATGGGGCTGATACCACTTGTTCAGGTAGGGTGTTCCAGTCACTGACCATCCGATGAGAAAGACGGAACCCTACTTTAAGTTTATTAGATCGCGATTTTTGAACCTTCTTGCTATGACCTCAAAGATTATTATTGCTGGAGGGAGCAAAAAGATAAGAAATATTAACCCCAGATCATAATTAAGGATATGGGATGACAAAATAAGGTCACCTTGCGTTGCATGATACGATAAAGAGAAAAGGTTTAGGCGATTTAAGGGTGTTTGAAAATACCCTTCACTAATTTTTTCTCAGACGTTGAACACAATTGAGTTAATATCCCTAAGTAGAAATGTACTAGCTGCTTGGGTACAGTACTCTAAGTGTAGTCTTACACAGGTGGCATATAAATTTCGAAGCATCTCGCTAATGCATCTGAATGCTCGGTGAAGTGGCTATAACGCACAAAACCCTTTTGCAGCTGCTGCATCGCATTATCCGACGCCTAACCAAAGCTCGTGAAGAGCAGACTAGAGAAAATCAGGCTGGTTTTCGACCTGGACGTGGTTGTATAGATCGGATATTCACACTACGTCAGGTTCTAGAACACAGACACACGTTTAGACGCCCGACAATGGTAGTATTTCTCGACCTTAAGGCGGCATTCGACTCTGTTGATCGTAGGGTTCTATGGCAGTGTTTGTCACTGAAAGGAGTACCAAAGAAGTACATTAACCTTATTCAGGCTCTCTACTCGAACACAACTGGTAGAGTGAGAGATTATGGCGAACTGTCATCAGAATTGATTACCTCAAGTGGTGTTCGTCAGGGCTGTCCACTCTCTCCTTGTTTAACTTTGTCGTTGACGTGCTTTTAGAGATGACACTTTCCTCATCTAAATTTACAGGGGTTGAACTTCTACCGGGAGGTTCACTTGTTGACTTAGAATATGCTGATGACATAGTTTTATTTGGCGGAGACGCTGACAAAATGCACAGTCTTCTGACTACTCTAAGCAACAATGCAAGCATGTTCGGGATGCGATTCTCCCCTCGAAATGCAAAATGTTGCTTCAGGATTGGGTTGCATTGCTTACTTACTTACGCCTGCTACTCCCAATCGAGCATAGGCCGCCGACCAGCATTCTCCAACCCACTCTGTCCTGGGCCTCCTTTTCTAATTCCATCCATTCTTGTTCATCTTTTTCATGTATATTTCCATTTCTCGGCGTAATTTGTTCTTTGGTCTTCCTCTTTTCCTTTGGCCTTGAGGATTCCATGTGAGGACTTTTCTTGTGACGCAGTTGGGTGCTTTCCTCAATGTGTGTCCTATCCACTTCCAGCGCTTCTTTCTGATATCTTCCTCCGCTGGCATCTGGTTTGTTCTCTCCCACAGTACGTTGTTGCTAATAGTGTCCGGCCAACGGATCTGAAGTATTTTGCGTAGACAACTGTTAATAAACACCTGTATCTTCTGGATGATGGCTTTCGTAGTTCTCCAGGTTTCCGCCCCATACAGTAGAACTGTCTTGACATTTGTATTGAAAATCCTGACCTTGGTGTTGGTTGACAGTTGCTTTGAGTTCCAGATGTTCCTCAGTTGTAAATATGCTGCTCTTGCTTTGCCGATCCGCGCCTTCACATCTGCATCAGATCCACCCTGTTCATCAATGATGCTGCCCAAATATGTAAAGGTTTTTATATCTTCCAAATCTTCTCCGTCAATTGTGATTGGATTGGTGCATGCTGTGTTGTATCGGAGAACCTTGCTCTTCCCTTTGTGTATATTGAGACCTACTGCTGCTGAGGCTGCTGCTACACTGTTCGTCTTCTCCTGCATTTGTTGTTGCGTTTGGGATAGAAGGGCCAGATCATCTGCGAAGTCCAGATCGTCCAACTGCATCCTAGATGTCCATTGTATCCCGTGCTTCCCTTCAGATGTTGACGTCTTCATGATCCAGTCGATCACCAGGAGAAAGAGAAAGGGTGAGAGTAAGCAACCTTGCCTAACACCGGTCTTCACTTCGAACGACTTTGTCAACTGTCCTCCATGCACGATTTTGCAGTGTAATCCATCATATGAATTCTGTATGATATTGACTATCTTCTGAGGCACGCCGTAGTGTCGAAGAAGTTTCCATAGTGTTGTTCTGTCCACGCTATCAAATGCCTTTTCGTAGTCAATGAAGTTGATGTAGAGTGATGAATTCCATTCAATTGATTGTTCCACAATGATCCGTAGAGTTGCGATTTGGTCTGTACACGATCTATCCTTACGGAATCCTGCCTGTTGGTCACGAAGTTGGGCGTCTACGCAGTCCTTCATCCTGTTTAACAATACTCTGTTGAAGACTTTTCCCGGTATTGAGAGAAGAGTGATGCCCCTGTAGTTATCACAGTTGCTGAGATCGCCTTTCTTCGGTATTTTGATCAGAAGTCCTTCTTTCCAGTCTTTTGGTACTTGTTCCTCATCCCAAATCTTATTGAAGAGAATGTGGAGTATCCTTGCAGTTGCCGCTACGTCTGCTTTTAGTGCCTCTGCTGGAATGTTGTCTGGTCCTGCTGCTTTGCCACTCTTGATTTGTCTGATGGCCATGCTGATTTCTTCAATCGTTGGTGGGCCAACGTTGATTGGGAGGTCCGTGGGTGCTGCTTCGATGTTGGGTGGGTTCAGTGGAGCTGGTCGATTCAAGAGTTCTTAGAAGTGTTCCACCCACCTGTTTTGTTGCTCTTCAATGTTGGTGATTACCTCGCCTTCCTTGCTTTTCACTGGTCGTTCTGGTTTGCGGCGATTTCCAGAGAGTTTCTTTGTTATGTCATACAGTTGTCTCATGTTCCTTCTCTTGCAGCCTTTTCCGCCGTCTTTGCTAGATCTTCCACATATTTACGTTTGTCGGTTCTGATGCTCTTCTTCACTTGTTTGTTTACTTCTGTGTATTCAGCTTGTGCCTTGGCTTTTTCTGCTCTTGTTCGACTGGTATTGATTGCTGCCTTCTTGTTCCTCCTTTCTTGAATCTTATCCAGTGTATCAACAGTGATCCATTCCTTGTGATGGTGCTTCTTGTGACCCAGGACCTCATGACATGTTGAAGTGATTGCCTCTTTGATCCCCTTCCAGTTGCTCTCCACAGTAGTTCCTTCTCCATTGAGTAGATCATGAAAGGCCTGGAACTTGTTGCTGAGGACTATCTTGAATTTGTTGAGTTTGTTAGTATCCTGAAGAAAGGCCGTATTGAACTTTTGTGATATTGTCCGCCCCATTGTCCAGTGCTTCTTGAGTTTCAATTTCATCTTGGCGACCAGCAAGTGATGATCTGATGCTATATCAGCTCCTCTCTTGGTTCTCACGTCCTCTATAGTCCTCCTGAACGTTTTGTTGATGCAAATATGGTCGATTTGGTTTTGCGTGGTGTGATCCGGTGAAGTCCATGTGGTTTTGTGAATGCGTTTATGTGGGAATATGGTGCCGCCTATGACCAGTTTATTGAAGGCACATAGGTTTGCAAATCTCTCACCATTTTCGTTTCTTTCTCCCAGTCCATGTCGTCCCATGATGTCTTCATATCCAGTGTTGTCCGTTCCAACCTTGGCGTTGAAATCTCCCATCAGAATGGTCAGGTCCTTTGTTTGGCACTTCTCGACGATTGACTGCAGCCTATTGTAGAATTGATCTTTAGCGTCTTCATTGTAGTCGTTGGTAGGCGCATAGCATTGGATGATATTCATTGTAATGCCCTCCTTTTTTGTTTTGAACGAGGCTTTGATGATCCTTGGTCCATGAGATTCCCATCCTATAAGCGCATTTTGCGCTTGTTTGGACAGCATCAAGGGTTGCATTGACACCCGAACTAATGATAGGGAGTGAAGTAATTGAGCGTGCCGATCGCTTCACTTATCTTGGAAGTCTCATCAGCCCTTGTGGTATGGTGTGTGACGAAATCTCACCACGGATACAGAAGGGTTGACTAGCTTTTGCTAATTTAGGTCATTTATGGCGTAGGCGAGATATCCGTCTACCAACCAAAGGACGGGTTTACTGCGCAGCAGTTCGTTCCGTCTTACTTTATGGCAGTGAAACATGGCCGGTAAGAGTAGAGGATATTCGTAGGCTACTAGTATTTGATCATAGGTGTCTTCGAAATATTGCTCGTATATCCTGGGACCACCGAGTAAGTAACGCAGCTGTTAGGAAACGGGTACTAGGTAAGGATGGCAAATCAATTGATGAAGTAGTGAAACTTCATCAGTTGAGATGGCTGGGACACGTGTTACGTATGCCCAACCACCGACCACCTCGACGTGCTATATTCAGTGGTATAGGAGTAGGTTGAAAGAAAGCTAGGGGCGGCCAGAGCAAAACATGGCACAAGTCGATGAAGTCACTGACAAGTTGTCTGAGTCATGTCGGTAGGTGTAGACTGCC